GCCTTGACATGTTCTTTCATTACTGTGGTATAATATATTTCATATAAACCACTAAATAGACTAAAAAAAAAACAACTTTGCTCAGATGGTCTTTTTCTGTCTAAGTGGGTGGTGCTTGGTCAGGATAAGCTGCAAAGTGAACTAAACTTTGCTATGTCATGTCAATCATCTGGCTACACAACATTAGGTTTTACCCACTTGACTGCTTACAATTCAAAAGGCCAAGCTGTTTGTCTGTCAAGCTAGCTATGATTCAAACGTAACCCAACCCTGAGACTGAATGGGTGCCAAAACATACATTTGAGTAATTTCGCTAATAAACACACTTTATTATTTTACAAATCCACCATTAAGCCTTTAACAGCTCAACTTATGGGTGATATAAGAAAGACTGTCTAGTATTATGAAGATACATTTTGTGAGGTTCATCTAATAAACTCCCAACAACACAACACTAATACTTTGAGGTTTTCCTTAAGCTATACAAATTGATAAGCATCTTATCTTTACTGTCCAATAATGCATGCTTTACATGTTATGAATAACAACATGTATGCCAACAACTGATGCAGACTCATGTAGCAGCTTTCTTAAAAAACAAATCTCGTGAATTGTTCCTATATTCCTGATCTAAACACTCCAAGGATTGTCATTCATCCATGCACAAATACACATTTATCATTTTTTCACCAGAGTTTTCTGATCTTCTCTAAAGTGGCAATGCTAGTTTGTTTGATTTGATGTGCTTTTGTTCAGTTCAATATATGTTGTCAACCTAGAAAAACAACTTGAAAGTGTTTTATGCTTGTGTATGGACAACGTTTGGGGTTTCATAAACTTAAAACGGTGACAATCGAAACTAATGTGTCATATAGCGTTAGCTGCAGTGACCGAGCCAAACTTTCGTCTTCTTCAAAATAACAACGAACATAAAACACACTGCCATCCGATTCATAACACAATTTTAATAAGATTAAAAACATACGATACGTTTAGAATAGATACTATCCATACTAGCTGTCAAATAAAGTTCAGTCTCTGTAAACTGGGTCGCGCTAGCAGAACTAGCTAACTCTAGCTGACAAACAAAAAGTCACTTAACGTTAAATTCACTAAAACAACACAAGGCACCAAAACATAAAAACAGTCAATAAATCACAACTAAGATTAAAAACGAATGGTTAACTTCGCATCATTAGTCCTCTCATGTCAGTTAGCCGCTAATGCTAAATGCTAACAGCATCAGTCCTCCACATAAACAAACTTATAAACTCTCAGGAAAACGACCGTACATCTGTTTGTTATGTACCTGTATGACCTCGTTGACCTCCCTGATGCACTCCACCATGTGCTGGAGGATCTGCTCGGTGGTAAGCACCTCGAAGCGGTAGTCCTCCTCCTCTTGTCCGGGCCCCAGGCCTCCTCCGCCGCCGCCGCCGCCGCCGCCGGTGTCAGCGCAATCTTCGGCTTCTCCTCCAGCCACGGCGGGGTCCAGCAGCTCCTCATCCTCGGCCTCCTCTTCCCCGCTGTCCTCGCTGCACTCCTCCTCCTCCTCTTCTTCCTCCTCCTCTTCATCATCGAACTCATAGTTGTAGCCCTCGTCTGAGTCCATGTCTCAGTGTTGTAGGGTGAGTGTGATAAAGTGTGTATTGCTGCTTGACCTGCGCTTTACTGAGTGAGCGGATCCTTATGACAGACCCGCCGTGTCACTGCTGCGTCACACTCTACGGTCATCCAACACAGAACACAGCGTCGCATAAAAGCCCCATATCTTCTAAAACATACTGGCATTCTACATTTGAGTGCATGGTTGCTGCCTAAAAAATACTGCATAACAAATAAGGTGAGAGAAGTACATTTTAAAATACTCCATCTGGTATACCCTGTTAAAACTCTTTTTCTTAGATTTCCTACTGATGTAGATGTTATATGCGACTTCTGTGGGACTGAGAAAGAAAATGTCGTGCACTTATTTTGTAACTGCATTTATAGCTAAATGTTTTGGATAGATTTGGAATGTTTCCTTTGTAAAATGCTTAAGCATGAAAGTTTACTTTTCTGAAAAAAAGATGCATTTTTTAAATTTTAATAGACAGAGTTTACCACCAAATGTGGCCTTTATTGTTAATCTTTGTGTGATTATGGGCAAATACCATATACATAAACAGAAATGGGCTAAAGGAAAACCCAACTTTTTGTTATTTCAGATAGATATGAAAAATTATATTGAGTTACTACTTGGGTTGAAAAAGAGTAAAGCAAAACGCACTAGGTCTTTGTGAAGCTTTTCTGTTATTTATATGATGATCTCATACCTGTTCTTTTTTCTGTTTAGTTTTTTTAATGATTATTTTTATTTATTTATTTTTACCTGTATTATTATTTATATAATACTGTATATTTTCTATTTATTTTTTGTAGTTTTTATTTGTTCAGTACCTTTATATTATATGTTGGAAATCAATAAAAAAAAAATAAATAATAATAAAATAAAATAAAAGTGCGTTACAGAAAAACAAATTGTACTTATTCTCCTTATCTTGTTAACAAAATTGTATATACATAAATGTAAATTCTCATGTCAGAAGCCACTGTTTTATGTCTTGCTTGCTGAAATACAGCATTACTTTCTAACTCATGTAAATAAGTCGGCTTTAAAAACAGTTGAAATTTGTAAGCTGTTTAATCTTTTCCTTCGAATGTAATGTGTTTTGTTTAATTTTACACCCCTGTCTAGTAGTTAATAGATTTGTTTTGTGATTCTTCTTATTATATAAAAATAGTCTACTTCTTATTATTTTGTATTTTTGTATTGTAACAGCTTTTTATTGGTTGATAGAATGTCCGTAATAACAAAAACATAAATAAATAAAATCCTCCATGCCGCAGTCCTCGTAAGAAATCCTATTCAGTTAATCTGCTACTCCTTTTATGATACATGAACGTAAATATGGTGGAAAATAGTTTTTATTTTTTTTTATTTTACAATAGTCTACCTAAAAACACTATTAGGCTTGAAAAATTAGAAAGCTGTACTATCTAGTGCTTGTAAACATTTTAAGTTTTATTCTTCTTTCTTTCTTTATAATAGTATATGTAATGGTGCAATACGGCACATTCCATGATTGGGCTACAGCCATAGGCCCTAAAACCCCTTAAAAAAAACGTATATTTCTTATTCAACAAACAGTCAGTGAAAGGAATTGCTTAATTTCAAGGAAACACTGATTGCAGGGTTATTACAGTTAAATAATAAATAACCTGTAAACAAAATAAAATATAAAAACCCTTATTTCAACTTTCCAAGGCAGCATTTATCGTTTTTTACTTTAACTTGTAAAATAACTAAAACTGAAATAAAAATGAATAGAAATTATATTTCTAGTTTTTGATCTTTAAAATGAGCTACTTAAAAAAATAATTATAATTAATTGAATATCAATCGATTTGTCTGAATTAAATTGATGGGATCAAGGTCTTGACCCCTGAGGTGGGACAGACTTAAATCATTGTATTACAGACATTTTAAGTGTTGAAAATATTTCCAAAAATATTGAATTGAATATTGTATTGCCATTTATGTAGTAAACTTTAAGTTAATAAAACATCCAAGCATACCCCCTAGACAGCTTAATAAAAGTCAAGAGAAACAAAGTCAGTCAATGTTAGATCCATATAATTTATTCTATTACAGGCAGGGCAGTGTATGTGTGTGCATTTAAATACATTCTCATTCTTGAAAGTTGAAAGACTGGCAGGGTAGTGACAGACATGAAAAGAGTTTTCTTTTCTTTCTTTTTAAGAATGAATGTTCAATCATATATTTTCTGAAATCAGCATATGGCCACAGTATCAGATTTTTGTTCCTGAATAGTCAGCATTTTTCTCTATTTATAATTTATACTGTAGATATATCAATATAGCTATACATTTGAGATAAAGTCATCACTATGGTACATGATAGAGCTTTTTATTGATAAGTCCCATTGATTTTATATCTATTTTTTGAACACAACGACTGGAAACAAGACATTATTTACACTCACGTGAAAAGGCAGTGCTATACACAACTTTTTGTGAAAAAGTACAGCAGTCACATCTTACAAAGTTATTTAGTCACAACTTATAAAGAGTAATTTAGGAAAGCAGCAATAAAAGAACAGGAAAATAAGTGTGTTTTGCTATATATGCCAAACTTTTGATCATTTATATTACATTTACATCAGAAAAAATCTCAACCGAAGAAGTGATAAGTTTGGTTTTGTCACATGCAGAATCTATAACCAATTATTACATGCAACCAAAGCATGGGAATTGTGCTATAAAACAATCGACAGCATACAAAATACTTGACGCATGTGTGAACCGCAAAGCTCTTGTGGTGACAAACCGCTGTACTTTTTCACACAACCACCCAAAAACTTAAACACTTCATCCTGAAACGATATATAAAAAGCAATTCTAAATTATTAAAATATTTCGCCATTGAAATAAACCACTATTTATTGTTTTAAAGCAACAACAGTAGAAATGTTTTTTAAAAAAAGCAGATGAGAAGAAATCTCTCTATGCTTATTTTGCTACTGATTGCACGCTATACCCATACCGAAAGAGACTTTTCGCGATGGACGCGTCTCGTGCCGCGTAAAAGACATCGCAGATTCAGGCGAGCCATTTAAAGGGCGCATTTTGTGACTGGTGCACGTCTCGTACCATTCAACAACTCTTCCTGATGTCGTTCGCATTTATGGGCAGGGGTTTGTAAAAATAAATAATAATAACAGTTAGGGCTGTGCAATTAATCGCATGCGATTGTCATGCGCATCTAGTCAGAAAAAGCTGGTTCCATGATTAGTAGTAAATTCTACTAGTCGTACTACGGCTCTGTGTAGTAAATGCCGCTCCATCTGAAAGCAGGTGATGGAGATTTACTACTAATCATGGAACCAGCTTTTTCTGACTAGATGCGCATGACAATCGCATGCGATTAATTGCACAGCCCTAATAACAGTAATTATCATTATATATTAATTTCAGAGTTCAAACATTTGACTTGTATGAAGTTGGCTTTTTTGGCAATCGGTGGAAAAAGAAATGATAGAAAACTTGCATGCGTAAATTCAAGTGGATTTATATAAATAAGAGATGACAAAAGTTAGCAAAACGAAACGTTTTACACGAGCATACAGTATTTTCTCATGCACATCGAGAACTCATAGATGTCCACCAACCGTCAGTGCCACCAATTACACATACTCAGCAGGACATTCCACACAATCTTCAATAAAAAAAATGAAAAAGTACAATCCAAAAAAATCTGCAATTTACTATCCTTAGCCTGAGACGTCTTTGTCCCATTCTTCATTCTTCAAGGTCCAGAGGAAATGTACCCCACTCCTTGTTGTGTGCGCCCCTCCCCATAACTCAATTAAGTTCCCTCTTTCCTATCCCAGCCTTTCCCTTACATGAAACTGCCAACATTTGTGAAAGCTTGGTGTCTGTGGTGTCAATGTAAACATAACCGTAACATTAGATTCAATGTGAACGTAGGGTCATTTGTGCAAGCTTCTCGATATGCTAGCAACATCTTCAGTGTTCGAAGGAGCCCCTCAGCACCTCGTGTGTTGCAGGTAGCGATTAGGACACTTCATAACGGTGATGCACAAGACACAATGCATTCAGACATGTCTTACAATAGTACAAAATGAGGTCTTCTGTTCTTGATGAATCCTTAACGGTCCAGAAGTCTGGAAGGACTGGCCGCGGTGCTACGCATGCACGTTTCTACGATCGGTTCAGAAGGAGAAAGGAAACCGTAGGGTTAAATAAATAGATGAAAGTGGGCCACTACACCATAGATGGCAACACAGTTTCCTTAGGGTTGGGACTAGCAGCGGAAGTTCGTAGCGCAGATGTATGGTTGGGGGGTAGCACTCCGTCAGGAGGAGAGAAATCGTTGAGTTCTCCAGAAGACGAAAGCGGGAAGGATGGAGAAAGCGAGATGCCAGAGGAAGGGTCGGCTGAGCCGGCAAACGTGCGAGGCGGCTTGGGAACCAAGTTGGGCTCTAGAGTGGCTCTAGCCAGTAGCTGCCTGTCCTTGTCTGCATTTTGTCCCTCAGCCTGGCTATACGATCCCCGTCCAGACTCGGATTCTGCATCGGACAGCTCAAGAGGTGGAGAGCTGCTGCCATCCAGCCTAAATAGAGAGTCCAGGTACTGGGCAAACTCTAGGACCGCCTGACTGGGAGTGCCGTTGGACAGCGGAGGAACTGGTGGAAGAGTCTCGGAACGGACACTCTCAACTTCTCCCTCTTCAAACTCTCTATCCTTGGGAGTTTCTGGCATAGAACCAGTCCGGGATGCTACTGGGCAGGATTCTTGACTGTTAGGAATAGCTGATGGCTGGCAAGCCACAGGTGTTCCTGAAGACCGCCGGGAGTTCTTGCCTTGGCTGGCCGGCTGACCTACAATAGTTTGTCCAAGCGAGAGCGGAGAGAAGTTGAGATGATGGGCGTCGTTGGAAGATACTTCCAGTTCTGGAGGAGTAGGGCAGTACGGGCCGGCCTCGCCCAGTTCACGGTCCAAGCCGTCTGCGGCCAGCAGCTCCGTACGGGAACTCAGCGAAGGATTCTCTTCTGGGATGGTGGCGTCCAAAGGGAAAGGTAGACTCCCCAAACAGGGCGAGCCTCTCAGGGCGGCAGATGATCGTCGGGAGTCCAAGCTGTAGACGGATTCGGCATCAGAAAGACTTTCCATGATGGCCAAGGGGGCTTTTCGCTCCCGCAGCTCCACAGCCAATCGCTCACGGGCGCCGGTGAGCACCACAGGCACAGGAGGAGGCGGACACTCCGAGAAACCGTCCAGTGAGATCTCAGAGCGAGCACAAGAACTACAGCAGGACAGGACAGGAAGTGGGCACAGGAGTAGAGTAACATATGGAGAAAATAAACAAAGACCAGAGAGACAGACAGCATGGAGGGGGAAAAGAGAAGGATGATAACAATAAAATTAGGGAATTAAAAATTGTTTGCAAGGGAAAAAATTGGATATTTAAAAAAACAAATGCCATAAAATGCAGGATATAAAAAAATAAAAAAAAGCAAAATAATGCCATAAAATGCAGAAAAAATACAAAGTTTAATGGAAGAGAAAAGGAAAAAAATTATTAAAATTATTTTAAGAAGTTATGCAAGATGCATCGCATCAATTTTATATGCATATATATATATTTAAATAAATGATATAAGATGACAAATAATATGTAATAAAGTAAGGGTAAAAACAAAAAAACATTCAACATATTAAATAAAAAATAAAGCAGAGAACAGGGAAGATAAGGAAAAAATTAGAAAGAGGGGAAAGAAAAGGGAGGTTTATGGTTAGGCAACACTAACGTGACTAACGTCTAGGCTGTTCTTTTCTACTGAACCAGAGAGGACGAGGGGGGAACTGTATAGTACCATACACTGTACCTCTGCAGTCGGCATGAGTGAGAAGGACAGGCAATAGAGTTAAAATCAAACGATAATAAGAAATGCTTAAAAACACCTAAAGAAAATCTGCAACATTGATCACTCATTGGTATGTTCTGATTGGTCAGTCAGCTTGTTTCAAACTCTGATTGGATCTCGTGACTCACCGGACACTACTGTTTCTGCGGTGATGTGTGGCAATTTCTCATAATTTTGTGATATAAACTCGCAATTCTGACTTTATTTCTCAAGATATAAACTCGCAATTGCGAGAAAAAAAGTCAGAATTGCAATTGAGATAAAGTCGCAATTCTGATATATCACGCAATTCTGTGAAAAAAGTTTATTGTGAGATAAAAAGTCGCAATAACCTTTTTTTTAATTCCGGGCTTCCATAAAAAATAGTTGTTGGATTAAGCATACATTTTTTTCTAAAAATTATAAAAGTAAATAAAAGCATCTTGAATGAACAGTAAACTGCATGTTAGGTCAACAGATTAGTGAGTAAAGATGATTTTTAGTCCATTTTGCTAATTTTCTGCAGAATTTCACAGATTTTTCTGCAATATTAAAGCAAAAAAAATTCTACATTCCTCTATATAACACAAAAGGAGATATTTATCCTGGTTATACATGTTGTAACAATGATGACACAGTGTTCGCTGTTCCTTTAAATATACCCTCTGAGGCAGAACTACCACCACCAACAAGCAGCGTAAACAAACGCTGATGCCCACCGCAAGAACCACCACAGGCCTAAATCCACCTCCAAGGGTAAAAGACCAGGTGACAAACTCAAGGCACACAGAGAGGGAGAGAAGCTGCAATGAAAATCCTGCTGCAAACTGCTAAAGCATAAACCAGACACCAAAACAGGAAGTTAAGAGGAACTGATAGAGAGACCAGGAACCTGCAGAAAGGAAGAGAATGACACCACAGATGCCCAAAGCTCGAGCTGATGGATGTTTCTGGCAGCGAGGAACAGAGATTATTAGCTGCAAAGGAAGAAGGCACATGCATTTGGTTGGACTGTACATTGTGTAACACACATAAACAAAAGTTTGTGGTCGGTAATATTTTTTTGATGCATCTGAAATAAGTCTTTTATGTTCACCAAGTTTGCATTTATTTAATCAAAAATACAGTAACAATTTGTGAAAGTTGTGTTATTACAATTGAATGCTTTCTATTAGAATATATTTTACATTTTAATTTTCCTTCAGTAATCATTCTAACATTTTAATTTGCGTCTCTTATTATTATCAATGTTTAAAACAGTTGTCCTGCTTAATATTTATGTGGAAAAATGTGATGCATTTTTTCAGAATTATTTGATGAATATTAAGTTCAAAAGAACAGCTTTATTAGAAATAGAATTTGTGTAACTTTATAAATGTCTTTACTGTCACTTCTGATCAATTTAATGCATCCTTGTTGAATAAAATTCTTAATATCTTTATAACATATATATTTTACTGACCCCAGACTTTTGATCAGTAGTGTATATCAGAGGCTTGAGATATAACATGTGCCACTAAAATTGGTCTCTTCAGATTGGGCAGTCGAGGAACTCAATCTAGCCTGAGGAGAAGTTAAAGGTGTGTTATCAAAGACTGAGGATTTTGTAGAACTGTTCTCCATTGAGAGTTCAGCTAATGTGTCTTTAGACATTACTCCAGTTGAGGGGATCTCTGAAAAGTCTGGATTTATGCTGGTTTTCAACAGGAACTCTGGGGGAGAAGAGGAATCTGATGTGTTTGGAAATGGAGTTTGGGAAGTTGTCTTCTGGAATTGAGAGCGGGACTCAGAAGTGGACACATCAGAGGAGGAATTAGTCATTTTGGAAGATAAAGAGCTGTTAAAGTTGATGGTTGAGTGTTGGACAGATGAGGGCATTTCTAATGTTGGCAAGTCCAACTTTGTAGAGGTCAATAAAATGTTCAATGTTTTGGGGAGCACATGCAACCATTGGGGATTCAGACGGAGATGGACATGTTGATGGTTGTTGAAGGGCACAGAAATGGTCTCCTGGCTTTATATCTAACTCAATAGAAGATGTATCTACAGTAACAGACATTACGGGGTGAGAGTTTCTGTCATAGTGTTTTGAGAGTTTGACTTGGAAGCTGCTTGAAGACTGACAGTATTATCGAGCGATAAACCGTTCATGTGAGCGTCTGAACCTCGTGGTTGGACAGAAACCATTTCACTGGGAGTTCGAGAAGCAGAGCATGTATCTGGAACCATAAAACATTCATCTGAACAGAGAGTTAGCGAGGGATCTGGAAGTGCGTTAGGGACAGAAACACATGCTTGGATGCAAGTTCTCTGGCTTCCAACCTGTGCAGCAATCAGTTCTGAAATTAAATATGGGTTTTCCAGCACCTGTGAAGACAAACCAACACATTACCATACAACAGACATGTGAACAATCGAACATGCTTTCAGAAGAAAATAAAACAAGACAGTATGACAGCCCAGTTTAAGAGCAACTAGATTTATCATTCCATTATATATGCAGCAGGACAAGTTGCACACCCAAAGTTTCATACTTAGGTTTAGGGCTCTGAACAAACCCCTAACCTTATATATGAGCAACAGTAATAGCAATAAGAAGAAGAAACAGCCATGCAAGAAATGCTTTATGCTCGTGGAATTCCGGTTTCAGGGGACAAAAACAAAGACAGACCTTTATGTCCAGCAAAAACAGACAGAGGACACACTTTGGCTAAGATGCTGACACAGATCTGCAACAGTGGAGTCCATTGCAGCCCAAAAGCCTTATAAGCAACTGTTTCACTGACCCCAAACCCATTCCATTAACAAAAGCAGATCTGGGAACACCAGAATCCAGTGGAACTTACCTTATGTTACATGTTATTTTACAGGGCTGCTGGGCAATTTAGACTAACGCTTTTATCCGGTAAAGATGCATTAAACTGATCAAAAGTGACAATGATTTCTGAAGGATCAAGTGAGACTGAAGACTTGAGTAATGGCTGCTGAAAATCACATAATTTAAATTAATATAATTTAATATTTTACTAAATAGTATCAACACTATTTACAGCATAAACACTATATTTTACGATTTTGCAACCTTTGAGATATCTATCAAAATATTTAAATTCAGCACAAATCTAGTGTAAAATATTCAGCAACGTTTTCCACTTGTGTATTTTTTCATAAAAACATTTTTAACCACACAGAGACTTGTTTTTTGAGTGATGATGCAAATGTATCATCGTTTTGATTTTTGAATCAATTGACTGAAATGGACAGTCTGAACTGCTTTAAAGAAATTAATCAAACTTGCCAACTTAAATTTTGTCATTAAAGTTTAATCAGAAGCATTATTAAAATATCCTCGTCTTAACGCTCTCATAATCATATAAAAGTCAAGAGTGAAGCCAGGATCGCAAAAATAGTCTAATTAAACTTAATACAAGTGTATCAAAATGACAATGTATTTATAATGCAAAATTATTGCATTTATTTTATTATTTCATTTATTCTCCAGTTCTTTTGGAAAGTTTACTATTTTACTTAGTTAATATTATTATTACATTTATATATGCTGGATTCGATGTTACTCAGATTTGCCCAGAATGGCATTTCATTAGCTACCCAGTCACTGACGTTGCATTTGGCAAGTGTTAGACAGAAAAGCGTGCACACAAATGCACACACACACACACAGGCACACACCTTGTTGAGGCCATCCATCACCACATGAGGCAGGTGTTCATTCAGCATGGCTGGAGAAATGATGACCTCATCAAAGGCCTTGTTATCCCCCCACAGAGCGGAGTAAGTGGGATCTTCCTGACCACAACTACAGAGAGAGAGAGAGAGAGAGAGAGAGAGAGAGAGAGAGAGAGAGAGAGAGAGAGAGAGAGAGAGAGATTCTGTGTGAAAATCACATGGTCCGCCCGAATATATACCCCAAATCCACC